CCCTCTTTCGTGCGCGGGGATAAAATGGAAATGCCTGGCAGCGGGCGGTATAGGGGAAACCCCGTGGATTCGACTGTTTCGAGGCGAGAGTGCGAGAGAACGAGAGCGTACAAGGGAGCCATCCGGATTTGCCCCTTCGTACTACCACCCGCATTGAAAGCAATGTTTCCTACTCTTATGCCAAAAAAAAACTCCCCGATTTATTTCTCCGGACGATCGCACATCGGAACGATATATATGGACGCCGATAAAATCCGGCGGTGACTGATCAAAATCTTTCCTTTTTTTCGGCTACATGATGTTTCCATCGATTCGAACGATTCAAACCTGCACGAGAGATGCAATCCATCAACTATTATTTCGTCACCCGCGAAAAAAAAAACGAGATTTTATCAGAAATGAGATATCTCATTTTTTACATACATTTAAATAATTATGTATATATATATATATATATATATATATATATATACATAATTATTTAAATGTATGTAAAAAATGAGATATCTCATTTCTGATAAAATCTTGTTTTATATATATATATATATATATATATATATATATATATATATATATAGTTTAATATTGAGCTGAAGTAAATGTATACAAAGTTTCTAAAAAGTCTAAATTTTTCGTTCCGACTAATTTTCCCTGGATGTAATTTTTTATAATGATTTGAACGATTCGGAGTTTTAAGATTGCTCCGAAATTTTTCTCGAGACTCCACCGAGGAGACTGTAGAATCTGTCCGCGTGAACGAAGAAAGAAGAGGGTCGTCGAGCGAGCGAGAGGAGCGCTGCAGTTTATTTCGGTCGGGTTAATTAGTGTTGCCTCGCGAGGTTTACGGTTGACATTTCGTTGGTCGTTCGTTCGTTCGTCGTTCTACGGAGGTAGGGAAAAGGGAGAGAACGCAAAGAAGGACAGACAAGGGGGCTGGGAGGAGGGACCGGCTTTTTTACGGCAACACACTGGTCGGCCATGCCGAAGAGGAAGACGAAGTCGACGCAGAAGTATAGAGGAGGAAAACGGACGAGTTACAAGAACGTTCCGACCAATAAAACTGCAGTGCCCCTCGAAGGTACCCCGAAGGCGCCAGGGCAGTCTGGATCTCCTCTTATTAGCCTCTCCACTTCAGCGTGTTCGCCTCAGAAACCCGCGTAACAATCTTTTGTCTTATTCCGCGGTGTGAATCGCGCCATTCGAATAGAAGCCCGCTTTTATGATTCCACCGCGATTGCTTTTGGAAAGAGCAGTAGAAAATCTCGTAAAGCAGTCATAAAAGCTAGTAGAAGCATTACAATAGTATAATGTAATAAGATGAGTGAATTCTCTCTCTCAGAGAAAGAAGTCCGTATTAAAAGAAAAAAAGAGTCTGTCTAACGAAAAGGAATCAGCTTCTCTCGGTCTTGCATGATTTATTCTCGAAGCTTTCGAGGAATGTGAAAGAAGTGAGAAATTTGAAAAAAATACTTGTATGAGTCGTAAGAATGAACAGTGAAACGAGAGCGAGGAAATAGGAAGAAAGGTGGACAGTTTGGTACCTTATTAAGCATCCTTATCGCCAGCTCGAGCGTGACATGGTCGTTTAACTTTTACTCGACCCGCGAACAAGTAATGAACACACACCGACCAGCAAGATAGAACCCGACAGTTCCTTCTTCTTCTGTTAGAAATCTTGACTTTATCACATTTGAAAAACTTGACGGCTGTAAACAGCAAATGACTCGACGCAACTTGGACGCGGATATTTCAGTTGAAATTTACAACGGTCCTGTCCAGTTAGGGGCGAGAATCATGTCGGCATAGAAATCGAATATTTCTCTGAGTTTTATAGGTGTCGATGTCACATATGAAGGAGCCTTCTTTCCATTATTTTAAATAAAAAACCAATCTAAGAATCGAAAATTGCATCGCAAAACAAAAATCCGGCTACGACTAAAATAATTACGCGCTATAAAATGTGGAAGGAAGATGACCCTCTGTTTCCGCGGTGATATCATTCCTTTTATCTGTGAATCGTACGCGATAATATAACAGGGTAACGATAAAAACTGACGAACCACGAGCGCCCCGCGTGTTTCGTTTTCCCGTAATCATAAATGTTACGTCCAACAACGAAACAAATGGACGTTCAACATCCGAGTGATATTTTCACACTGCGTACCACCTGCCGCCACATTTCATTTTGTCATCTCCGCATCCGTCGCGTAATTCTTCTAGTTTAATTATTCCATGTTTGTCAAACAATATTGTTGCGTATTGCGAACAAAAAATATTTTCTCGCTGTTAAATTATTTAAAATATTTTTAAAATATTTTTAGTTAAAATATTTAAAATATTTTTAATATAAAAATGTACCTGTATTACAAGTTTTTAAAGTTTCTCTTGGCTATAAAAAGCACGAAAAGTGTTGTATTCTAAATCTTCAATTTCAATATAAGTCAGTTTTTTCTATTTTTATTAATGCGGACTGTAAATTGTTTTTTTAACATTTAACAAAGGTTTTATTATATTATTTTTAAACCATTATATTTCGCCTATTATTATATTTATTATTTTATTTATATTATGTCAAAAGAATTACCTGAGAAATATAATATTTGACTTTTGCATGAAAAGCCATCCTCCGGGGAATTTCCGATTTTTCGACAAAAGAAAAAAAAATCTCTTTTTCTTTATCTTTTGTCTACTTTTTCGAAATTAAAAACAAGTATTCCCAACATTATTGAACAATGTTTGCGAAAATAATTTATTATCTTTTCTTTTTTTCTGTATCTATTGTAATGTTGATGCAAAACTTTTAACTCGTTTATTTCGAAACTATAAAATTTCTTGAAAATAAATTAATCAATTGGACTGAAATTTTGCAATGCATTGTTTTTATTGTTTACAAATTGCAACAAAATTTATATTGTTGTAATTTATATTGTTAATTTATATTGTTTTACAAATTACGAACAAAAGATTTATAAACATTTATCTTTTTTACAATTATTGAAAAGTATGAAAAATATAAAAATGTGAAAAACTAATTCTTTAAAGTATTGTTATATTTTGTTATATTTTTTTTTATACAATTTTTTGTTGTAGTTCTTTAGATAATAGTCATATTTACAAATTAAAAATTTGTAAATACTTTTTTGTTTTAAACGAACAAAACTTTCAATATTATCCAAAAGAAAAAATTTCTTGTATGCGCTATCTTTTACTTCCAAAAATTCCAACATTTTATTATTATTATACATTCGAAAAATCTCTTTGAGAAAAATCTCTTTCGTGCAGTGAGAGTATAATGTTTTCTATTGAGGGATGATTATCCGAGAGGAACGCAGGATTAAATACAAATTTTGTCTGAATGTTGCACGTGACTCTTTGGAAAGAGTCGTGGCAAGAATGAGGCTCCTTGACAAAAGCTGCGGTTTTGGGACAAGTTTTTTTTAAAACTTTGGTATTATATTCGTTCACGAACATAATCGGCAAATCACCAGGTTTACGCAGAACAATAAATCATCGGGTGGGGCTCGTTTCCTCAAGGTACCCGGGGTGCAGGTACAAGATTCTCGGAGGGATGTTTATCTCGTCTTGAGTACCTCGTCAACCTGTCAGTTAATCCTATTAGTAGCGGTGGATCTTATTGCGTCGCAACTAGTATCTTCTCGTTGTCTCCTGACAGTTTACCATTTTTATCCGTTCTTGTCCTTTTTCACCATCCTTATCTTCAAGGAAGTGGACCTCAGATTCGTTTTCTTTGTTATAAATTAGCTTGTTTAGAATTTATCAATGTATTATCGATAAAATATTTCTTTCTGACTTTTAAATCAATAATACTACTTAATATGTGTGCAATTTAATGAAATTCGATAAACTATATCCGGTTTTTATTGCAGAATGAAACGCGACCACTTATCGTGTTTCTGGGCGATGAAAATTCTTGCATACAAGCGTATATAGCAATCTCTTGCGCTAATTTAGCGGATAAGTATTTCATGCGCGTTTAATGGTTTCGGCCCATTGGTACGACCTAATAACCCGTGAAATTATTCAAGTTGCACGGTACGGGGTAAATCCCACCGGCTAATCTTCTCGGCGTCCATCGCTCGTGAAATTTTCAATGGGAGAACAATAGGCCAGAACAAATGTTTGGCTTATGCACCGGCGCCAGAAACATACGATACTGTACTGGGTGACCGCGACCCCGCTTTGTCTATCGATATCCTCTCTATGGTAAACTCTTTCTCGAAAGCGCGATATATGATGAAAATTTTAATTTGTAACGTATTTCGGAGATGTATTATTTGTAATGTACAACTTGCTACTAGGAATTTGGAAAAATGTATTTAAAATTATGTTTATATCGGTACACTTTTTTTTTTCAAACGCAACTTTCAACGCGTGTCGAAAATTGGCTCCTGCTAAGATACGAATTTGCGCGCTTTGAAAGAGGACTTTGTCGCGCTGACATTTGACAATCGCCCTATATTTTACGATCTCACGGGCCTGGACGCGATATATCGGCCGGAAGAGATCCGCCTCCTCCTCGCGCGCGAGCGGGGACGAGAGGAAGTGGGAGAGACGGAGAAACGCGGATTTATTCAAGTCCCTCGACGTCGAGTTGACAAGAGTAGAGCCGCGTAAACATACTCGTTTCTCCTTGTTCAGCCGCGATCGTGCAGCATCCCGCGACGAGGCAGGGCGTCGCGACGCCGATCGTTCGACGATACTTCCACTCGGGGTGAGTGGCGCGACGGGAGGGGATGAAAGGCGTCGCGACGTCGATGGATACGTTCAAAAAATAACTTTCGCGACCAATCGTGGACGGCCAGGCAACCCATGGATCCCGCCCTTGGACCAGCGAACAATCCCGCGATTGCTCCGTTCCATTCCAGTCGCCACCCATGATTCTCGGTGGGGATACCCGATGCTTTCGGTTTTCCTCGCCAGAGGGGGAGCCGCGACAGAGAGAGCACGGAACCGGAGGAGCTCGCTGAAGTGGTGTGAGTGCTGCCGAGTCAGTCGCAGACTGGAGTGCCCTGTGAGAGCAGGGGACGGACCGAACGAACGAACGAGAACTTGTACTCTATATATCCTGAGCGCGCCCGCCGACGCTTTGCTCGCGCGAAACGAATGTCCGTCTATCCGAATGTCCGTCCCGCATCTCTCCCGGTGTCGTCGTCTCGATATCGCGTCCCAGTGTCGCGTCCCGTGCCAGCTGTTTTCATGACGTGCCGCGTCAGGAACCGCGAGCCGTTCCGTGTCGTCGCGACAAGAGGAAGATTCTACGCTATCGCGGCTCGTCGCTGATCTCTCGCCAACGTCAAGCAGGAACTCGGAATTGAAGTGCGCGATGACGTCTCATTGATGAATCGTGTGATTGCTGGAGAAAAACGTGCGTCATGAGGTCGGTCACGGCCGACCAGGACTTTGGCGCAGCCTGATGCCAGATCTTCTCGATGCCGTCGTGCTCCGACTCCGTTTTTCCGTTTAAAGACATTGTCGCGCGACGTATAGAGACACAGTGAAGAAGAGAGAAAGAGAGAGAAAGAGAGAGAGAGAGAAAGAGATAGAGCGATAGAGGGCGAAAGAGAGAGAGAGAGAGAGAGAAAGAGAGAGTGCAGTGCGTGCAGGTGCGGGATTGTGCCCCGTTCCGCGTACATTTGGGGAGAGAAAAGGAGAGAGAGCTGCACGTCGACGCGCGTAAACTCCAGACCATGTCAGCGTACGCGCAATTCGGATACTCGTATCCGTCGGCGTCCCAGGTAAGCCACTTTATCAATCGCTACAAATCGCGCTGATGCGATCAAACTGTTGAAACTCACTCTGTTCGATGCGCATCGAATAATTTAGAAAACGTAACCGCGGAGGAGTTTCTTTTGGCCCCGCTTAAAATGCAGATTTATCGTCGCATAGATGTATCTTGTAAACGTAGATTCGATGCTGTATTTTCCATTTATCGCACGTTTACGTAAGTAACTTGCCCCACGAAGATAGACGAGATTTATCTCTCTCGAAACGAGAACCGATCTTCGAAGAAACGGAATTCCACGCGACCGGTCGTTGCCAATAATAGCGCACAATTAACATTCGCGCGAGTTCGCTCGAAGAAAGCGAGATCGCCTTAGAGAGACGCGCGCCTACCTTACCTTCCTCGTAGGCAGGCTAGAAGCTGCACAGAAAGGCGCGGAAACTCAGCGACGGCCGTCGCTCGAGCGCGTGACGCGACGATGGAAAAGGGTCCCGCATTCTAATGTCACTTGGCGCTATCGTTGGGTTCTGATCTAACGCTCTCCAATCTCTCGAATCGAATCTACGTCGACACAGAAACTATGATACATATAAATGATGCCTAGGAGTTTGCACGTTCAACGTTAAATACAGATTAGTCCCCTTCTTTCCCCCTTCCATGCACATGGCGCACTTTAATTTATTAGCTCTCTGAAACGAATTGTATGTCGAAGGTACGATTGATCGATGCAGAACGCGCGAATGAAAAGAATTTGGAAGATAACGTTACTGTTCTTCTTTTTGGAAAGATAGGACTTTAATTAATCACTCGCGTATCGATTAATTATCTCCGGTTTTGCGGCAAAAGCGAGACCTTTGCGATCGGTTATTTATAACGATGGATCTCTTTCGCATCATGGATATTTTTGACTTAATGAGATCGTGGCATCCGAGCTGGTTTTACGGCGATGATCGACACGGATGCGGATTTTTCGAACGGAGTAATTAAGAATTTTTGCGATCCAATTTTACGCGTAGGATGGATGCTATTAGAGGTCAAGTAAACAAGCGCAAAAGTAGATATTCCTGCATTTCTCAAGTCAGTGTAATCAGACCGATTGATATATATAAATCGATATACACGGACATATCGGATAAGTGCTTTCCGCCTATTTACATTTCCATTGGATTACACGCAATTCGACTACGCATAACTAAATTAACAAAAATTGTTTGCTAATTAATAATAAAATGATATTTTCAAGAAGAAATATAAATATGCACTTATTTGCTCGTTGATTGAAAACAAGTTCTCTCCCGGTTTTCAGCTTCAATAATTCCATGTCAACGTTATCTCGTTTATTCACACTCTTCGTATATAAAAATGAATAATCAATATAATTTTAATACATATACTATACATATAAAATTGTACCGTTAATACTAAATATATAAATAATTTTCTATCTTCATCTTATTCTTAATTATTTTTCTATGGAATAATATCAGTGTTTAAAAGAACTTTCAATAATATTGTTAGCTTTTTATTTATTCATCGTAATACTCGAGTATTATTAATGCTATACATAAAAAGACTGAAACGAAATAAAATTTCGGCACATTTGGATATCATTTAAATATAGATCGAAAAAACGATGTCAATATTTATATAAATTTACATGAAAAAATATGACGATATTGCAGTATCTTAGCTCTTGCATAAATCTGTTTGTAACAATCGCTCGGTACACATAATATTAAAATACACTGTTGAATATGCGGGACAACATTAATGTTAACAAAACGTTGAATGATATGGCATTATAAAGATATATTATGTGTCGGTTGTCGAGTTAAATTAGATAGGCGGTAATTAAGATTCTAGTTCGTCCGCGATGAATATTCAGTCGCGCGTTTCGTTGGAGTTTTTCTTCCGCTTGACCCTTCCGTGTCAATTTCGCTAGTGAATTTATTGAAAATCGCTTCAATGATTTTATTAACGATGCCGTTTAATTTATATTAAAATTAAAAATATGAAGCAAGAATGTATAATTTCGGTTTCATGTGCAATGCGAATCGTGGAATGTATCACATAAATTGTTTTTATATTCATTTAATTGGATTTTATAAATGTCACATAGATTGGTATATATATATATATATATATATATATATATATATATATGGAATTGATGGATAGATAAATGGAATGTATCACATAAATTGTAATTACACATTGACATGTTAAATAGAAAAAAGAAAAATCAGTTTTGATCATTTTTTTACGTCAAAAACTCAAAAATTGTCTTCCCGCAAAAAGATCGATTCTGTAAAAATTATACTCGCGGTACGTTCGTAGGACATCCGGTACGGGTATTACAATTTTGTTCTTCGTAGATATCTTCTTCGAAATTCCCTTCTCCCCTTTTCAACTTCGATTTTCGATCCATTTACTTTAGTTAGATAGTTAGATAGTTTAAACAATTGGATCACTCTTCTGAAACTATTTAATTTATAGTTTTGTCGAAAACCCTTCCAAGTGGGAAACTGTTCGTTTACTGTTCATTTAAAATACAAAGTAGGATAAGATAAATTAATCCTCGAGAATCTGTAAGGGTGAAAAATTTGACGTTAAAATTGGAGCAAAATTTCGATTCGGGATGATGCACGCGCATCGCGCATTCTCCAAAAAAAAAAGAGAGAAAGATGGAAATAAATAATGCCCGATAAAAGCGCCGCGCACGTAAAGTACATCGAGGGTCGCGCAGGTGCAGCAATAATACGGGTAGGTCTACCCGCATCGACCGCCGCAGCCGCGGAGGATCCGTTGTAAGCGAGTGAGCGCTGTAAATTGCATTATTATTTGCCGCAACGTCAAAGTTGAAGCCTCGATGAATTCCGGACACGGAGGCGCAGCTTCGCCGATTCCCGGGGAAAAAAAAAAGATAAAAATATGACACCGAGATCTTTCTCTTTTTCTCTTTAACGAGTCAAGAATCTGCATAATCGTGCTGAGCAACGCGGTACCTTCACTTTATAAATACCGCGTTCTTGATTGATTCATTGGGACGTGAAGTAATTTGAAGAGAAACTTTGCGCCGTGTTATTTCGATGTAATCCGTGCTTCTCGTTGCGACACATCTCTCCCTCGAGATCCCATAAAATTATCCAAGTCCTATGAATTCGTTAAAACACGAGTATCGAGCGGTGAAATTTAAACAACGTCTAACGCTTCAATTACTCAAGATACCTGACCGCATTTGATTCGTTAATATTTTCTACAGCAAAATATCCTCGAGTATTTATTTCATTGGAATACGTATGTATACGCGGGGAAAAAATTTCTTCCGTCACATTCAATATACGAGATCAAATGTAGGATAGAATGCGTCGCGTTGACGATGAGCCGTTCATTTATTCGTAATCTACATACATCGCGCAAATGGAGTAGGAGATCCGGTTATACCGTTGGAAACGAATGATTAACATGTACATAAGCGTAGTAATTATGTATAATTATCTAAATGGCGTTACGAAATTTGTCATGGTTTACGAACAAGTGCGCGTTGCACGTCCATGCCGTAAGATAATGACTACCTTGTACCGATGATTTCTAAGCACATGCGATAATTGACGTTTATACTCTATTTATTAACGCGATTCGCCGTAGATGGAATAGGACAAGTCGTAAAATCTACAATTTTAATTACGGATCAATTATATCCCGATAGCTTTGATTACTTAATATTTGCTAGCGATCTTATCTCCTTGAAATTATTGTAAGATTAGTGTAGATAAGAAATAAGATATATAAATAAAAGGCTTAAAGGACCAACGCAGAGATGACTGGTTGCGAAAAATAAAATTAAAACGGTTATCACAGAAATGTTCTAATCTATCATATTCCGTTTATTATAATAACGATATACGCGCGTTATTATAATAACGATATACGTCCGGTTCTCTCTCAGTCGTGTCCCTTCATAGACTGGAGGGTCACGAATTTGATTGGGAGAACATTTCCATTCTAGAAGAAGAACCGAGATTTAGAAAGAGACTGATTGCAGAAATGTTGCATATTTGCAGTCAGTCTCATAGCATCAACATTCAGAGTGATACTGAGTTTTTGGATAGGATATATTTGCCGATTATTAAAAAGTTTTCACATTGAATTTTTGGAATTGTTTGGTTCTGTTTAAATTTCTCCTTTTGAAGTCATATTCCTTCTTCCCTCTCCCCTCCCCCCCCCTTTTCCATAGAGTGGACTCTCGCTTGCCTCTCTTCTCGATCAAGTCTATCAGTTTAGCGCTATTAACAAGGACGTGTGTATTGTGCCGGTTTCGCTCTCCCCTCGAAGTAATTGTTCATTATTCTCTGTTAATTTTGAGACAGGGTATGAATTTTTCTTAATCGTGTCACACTATTTATTTGCATTATTGCTGTTCTGACATTGCAACTGTTTATAACAGTTTTTTCATTATATTAGTAGTCTCGTCTCATTAATCGGGTAGTATTTTGTTATAATTTAATTGTGTTTATGAGCTCATTTCCGTCTGGTTTTTTTATATAGATATCTAGAATTATCCTAACGCATTGTTGCCCATTGCATCACTTGGCCTGTCATGGACCTACGCATCTTTGACGGTTGTTTATCTTTGAGATGCATGTTGGACTCAAGGCGGAATTCTTTCTGGATTGAATTTTTTCATCGAGGGGATCATGGCGTTTGTTGAGGGCATAGCGAGATTGCTGCGGTGCGGATTTGCGTATCCGCTTATTTGCGTTGTTGCGTTTTGCTTGCCGCATTTAAATATCATCCGTTAAGTTGCGAGAACATATCGACTTTTTTGACTTCTCAAGGTTTTATTATTATTTATTATTGTTTGCGTCGTTTGACAGCTCACTTCATTTGATTTTACATCATGTATTATTTTTTGTCTTTATATTTGTTATTTTTATTTTGATTACTGATATTGATAAGGACCTGAAGATGGTCGAAACGCGCGTATATCGTTATTATAATAAACGGAATATG